TGTATTTAAGAAAATGGATTGTGTGTATATTTGTGACTAAGTATATTTTCGCAGATTACAGTGTAGTTAAATTCTATATTAGTATGTTCTCGGCTTCATCATAATTGAAATTCAGAAGTCATCCAATAATTTTTCGCCTGGATTCAACTTTTGTTAAATCCAGGAACTTTTGGTGAAGTCCTGTCTGCTGTAATATTTCTAGTAATATTTAAACATCGAACAATTACATGCTTAAAAAATAAAAAGTACAATATTAATTTTACACCAAATTGTTTCATATTCCTTCGAAATATAGTATTGGCAACCCTAGGTCAAGTCAAACTCGCGTCATTCGACACACAATTGCAATGTTCTACTATTTCATTATCCCTTAAAGAATTTTAAGTTAAACGTAGACAATTAACCACAGATATTGATTTATTTCTGTGCAATTAACTTCAAAATTAGGACATTACTTTTTAACATTTATCGTCATTAAATTGTAGATCACATTAATATTATAAAAGCGAAAGTTTGTGAGTGTGTATGTTTGTTACTTCTTCACGTCTAAACGGCTGGAGCGATTTTAATAAAATTTCGTATGGAGTTAGCTGACACCCTAGATTAACACATAGGCTACTTTTATCCCGAAAAAATTCTAGATTCCAGAGGGATTTTCAAGAAACTAAGTTAACGCAGACGAAGTCGCGGGCGACCTCTAGTTGTTTATTATGGATGTAGCCCCCTCAGGTGCTCTAAATTATTAACACAGGCGGAATGTAATGTCAAATTTCAGTCAATAAGCGCGCAATAGTTTCTATGGATGTCATTTGTCTCTCTCGTGTTTTTAGGGTTCCGCACCTCAAAAGGAAAAAACGGAACTCTTATAGAATCACTTTGTTGTCTGTCCGTCCGTCCGTTTGTCAAGACCGTTTTTCTCAGGTCAGCGTGGAGGTAGCAAACTCAAATTCATATCTAATACTCATGTCTACTGTCCCTTGGAGCTGTGAAAATATCAAACTTCTAAGCTAAAGCAATCAAAAGATACAGCCGTTTATGCCTCAAATTTCCGCAAATTTTCGAAACTCGCACGGGAATCAAAACCAACAGGGTACTTCCCGTGAACTTAGAATCTTGAAATTTGGTACGAAGTAACGTCTTATAGTACAGATAAAAGAAAGATTGCGAAAACCGTAAATTTTAAGTTACATCATATAATAAAAAAAATGGGTGCGTGTACTTATGTAGGCGCGTGAGAAGTTATCCTTCTTTGGCATCGTTTAAAATTAGTTTTTAATTGAATGCAAATAATTAATTACAATAAATTAATAAAAAGTCTGGAAAAGGACACAGTCAATAAAGTTCGGTTTTAATTTGAAAAAATAAATAAATAATCAAAATATTCAATTAAAATCGCTACTGAATATAATTTATTAGAACATATGTGATTTGCACTTGTATGAAACTCAAACACGTATTCCGAATATACAAACTAGAAACACAACAAAATATTATAAATATGAATACCTATAACTGTTACTTTATTACAAAAAATAAAGATGTGGTTTTTGGTTCTACTACACCAATGGTCAAGAGATGGCGCTGTAGTCTCCGGAATCGCGCTTTGGTTCCGTTGTTCCAGATTAATAAATACTTTTGATAGGCCTTCACAATGCAGTCGTTAGCACCCACTAAATAGAGATTTTACTTCAATTTTGTTGGTAGATTTTCTTAATGTGCGGTAAAATTTTGTGTTACAGTGATGCGCGCGCATCTTAAAATTTCACTCTCATCATTTTTTCATAACGCGCCTAAAGAAGTATAACTTCAAAAATATTTTTGAAAATTTTAAAGTTACTACCTCTTTTCTCATGAACGCGTAGAGGTATTAAATTGAGTTTGTACGGAACCCTCGGGGCGCGAGTCCGACTCGCACTTCGCCTGTTTTTCTACATGTTCCGTTGATTTCTGTCTCATGTAAATGTTAAGTAATATCTCAAAAGGACTGAACAATAAACAACAAACAAATGCCGAACAATACGACCCCATTTTAAAGAATACTGCGTCGATTTCAGCAATACATTTGTAAGCCTTATTCCGTTGAAATAAGACTTGAATCCTTTAAGCTTTTGTCGGGAGAATTATGCTTTTTGACATCGAAAAAGAAAACTCTCATTGTCAAAGATTACCTTTCGAGTTTTTACTTTAAGAGTGAAAGAATAAGGTTTAATATGGAGTGTTGGACTTACAGCGTAGTCCATCTTAGACTGGTTTTGATATTGTAGTTCTGGATTGTAATCAGTCACATCTGGAGTTGTAGTTAGTGCAACATGACTTGCTTCCGGTATGTAGGGTGTGTCAGGTTTGTGGAAATTGCGGGACGTTTTTAGATGTGAATATGTAAAATACAGATAATAATAAAATAATAATAAATCTTTATTAACGAAAAAAGACATTACATAAAACATGTGTACATTAGAAGCTGCTGAAGTATAAAACTGTGTTGCAGCCGCTAACGCCACCTTCAGAGAGAAAAAAATATGGGTGCGTGTACTTAAGTACGCGCGTGAGAAGTTATACTTCTTTTTGGAATTATTAAAAAATAGTTTTTAATTGCATGCAGATAATTAATTACAATAAGATAATAAAAGGATTGGAAAAGAATAGTCAACGCAGTCAATAAAGTTCAGTTTTAATTTGAAAAATTAAATAAATAATCAAAATATTCAATTTAAATCACTACCGAATAAAATTTATTAGCACATATAAATTTCGCATTTGTATAACACTATAACACGTGTTAAGAATATAGAAACTAGAACCATGTGGATAAATATTATAAATATGAAAACAGTGATCAGAGGCGACGAGCGTCCCAACATGTGCGACTAAGAGATCCTATTACTATTTTGTTGGAAGCTTTTTTTCGAGACTTACGAGTAATGTGCGGTTTAGCGGCCGACTTCATGTTACTTTTCTGTTACAGTGTTGCGCGCGCATCTTAAAATTTCACTCTCATCATTTTTTCATAACGCGCCCGCGGCTAACTTCATTATGTTACTTTTGTGTTACAGTGATGCGCGCGCATCTTAAAATTTCACTCTCATAATTTTTTCATAACGCGGCTAAAGAAGTATAACTTCAATAATAATAATAAGCAAAGATTACACAAAAATAATTAAGATGCAAACCTTAGGTCCATTCAGACATCATCAGTCCATTACCCAAAAGCAAAATGAGCTATAGTTTACTAGCGTCCCACTATTATTAAAGGACAAGGGACAAAACGCACCCAGCTCCGCCAACAATGTAATTAGTATGAATCGATAGATCTATGAAAAACTAGCCTTTTTTATTATGACACCGTAAAAAATATCCTGGTAGTCAAAAGATATGACACATGGGCATATTTAAGTAGCTAAATAAATTCATTTTATGGTACTTTCATTTTATATTATTAGTAACCATAATAACATGCCATATCATACTATACAACTAGATATACGACAAAGCCTGCCGACCATCCTGCGGTTGCACTTACTGAGACACCTCAAAACGGTTTACGGGGGTTAAAGGATTTGCAGTTGCAAATAGTCGATGGACTCGTCTTACTCCGTTGTAATTGTGGGGAGCGCACTTGATTGATTTTTATTTTAAATCCAAAGCATGTTGCTTTGGACATTGGAGCACGATTATCGGTTTTGTCATTTAGTATGGATGAACTGGAATCATGTTTTCTTCGAAGCGTGGACAAGTTTGTGTGTTATGTGGTCGCTCCGCTTTACATAGAAGACAATTTACTATTATAACGATCAGAATATTTGAAAATACTCCAACCCATGCGGGGATTTTTGGGTTTACTCTAGCGTGGCAGAATAACATGATAACTCTTGCACTTTGTGAAGTACTCCCATAATATCTGAGCCCCCTATAACTAAATTTAGAACTTAAACTTAAACTTAAACTATTAGGGTCGAACTTACTAACTAACTAAATTTTTCCCCTTGTTTCATTAATGTTCGTCCGCGTGGATTTTTTTTCTAGTAAAACTTTACTTTAGATTTAAACATCTAGCAGTTAAATGCTTAAAAATAAATAAAAACATAGCCTACCGCTTTCAAGGCTTAATTCAATAAATGCGTATTTTTCTAAGCTATCCGATGCCATAAAAATCAAATTTTCGGTTTCTTTTGAGATACTGCTTTTGGGCTTAGTAGGGCAGAATATTAAATAAATAAATATTTCCAACACTCACACCAATTAGCCTAGCCCCAAAGTAAGCACTGTAAGGCTTGTGTTATGGGATACTAGGGTAACGGTTAGAATACATATACTTTACATATATAAGAATATTTATATAGAAATACATATTAAACATCCATGACTGGAGTACAAATGCTCGTGTTCTCTATCTGCCCCCACCGGGATTCGAACCCGGGACCTCTCGAGTCGGCGACATCATGAAACCAGGCGTACAAACTACACGGTCACGGAGGTCGTCTAAATATCAACTGATAAAACTTCAAGTTTGCGTAAATGATGAGTTAGCTTAGACTTTTTTGATGTATGTATACGGCGGTCATCATGGTCACCCTACACGTATACGGTATACACCAAGCCCGTATGAACAGCGATGTTTTAATCAACGCTGGAGCCCTGTGTTTGTTCGTTTGGCTGCTCCTTTTTTACGATTTTTAGCACGCAAAAGAGTTTCTTCGAAGAAATATCTTCGCGTATGGACTCTATCACCAGAGGCGGCGTAAGGCCTGGGCGACGTGGGCCACCGCCCACGGCCTCGCGGTACAAGGGGCCTCGCGCCTCAAAAATTTTTATGCATTACTTAAAAGCTATTTTTTTTTTATTTTATAAAATCCGTCTTCAGGTCGCCACAGAACAGGGCCTCGCGAAATCTGTCTTGCCCCACTGTCTATCACCACTTAACATCAGGTGGGGTAGACTCATTTGCCCCAGCAGTGGGGACATTAATAGGCTGATGATAATGATATTATGTTTTGTTGCAGCCATCCTCCCGTACCGTGAGGACGCAAACACCCAGACGCGGGAATTCCTGGCACGCGTTGTTGATGTACTTCTGGATTTCGTGCAGCAGGTCAACGACCGCAATGAAAAGGTAAATTTCACAAATTTTTTCAGGTGTTACAATAAGGAGACCGACTACACAGCCCCTAGACGTCTCACCATATATTTTTAGTATTTTTAGTCAGGCAACAGCCTGAGACAAGACGAAGCAGCCTTCATTGGCTAATACAAGGCCATAATGTAAGTAAACGTTATGTGGAACTGGCGAACAAAACGGTATAATGACATAAAATTAAATTTTACCGGAGCTGTATAAGTGTCGCCGCACAGGGGCCACCGACCACAACCACAAAACACCGCCGTATTTCTTGTAGTTTTCAAACATTTTATATGGACTCGCCATACACGGTACGCCGGTGGCCGCCACACGCTACAAATGGTCGTTGCTCGCTTCTTGTGGCCCGCACCGGCCACTTAATGCGCCGATGCAAAACTCCGCCACACGTCACTCGCGCGATTCCCCACCCCTCTCTCCCTTACCTAGTCGGCCGCAGTCGCGCGCTTCAGCCACTTTAGTAGCCGCTTCTAGCTTCTCGTCTTGGCGTTTGTGGTTGTGGCGTGTGGCCCGTGTGCGGCGACAATTAGTAACCATAGAATGCTAATTCAACAATAATGTATATAACTGTAATTTTCCATAGAGTTAAACTGCAGAGTTGCATTAACGTAGCCGTCACATTATTTCATCAGTTCCCACAGTCAGTTAGACTTCGGCAACGAGAAAGAACGGTTCATCCGGGTAGCTCAGGACTTGGTACTCGAGTTCGCGTGTTCATTAATTTCCATTAAATTGGTATTGCAGTGTTGGCGGCATTTATTAGATATACAACGCTTTATATATTGGGAGAGATGCGTGTGTGCATATGTCTAGTACACACACTACAGTATCCGGGAATTTTAGGTATTTTTTAAAGACGAACAGCGCCAGCCTCCCAATGCGTCTCGAGAGCGTGTCGACAGGTCACGAAAGCGGTCGACACAGAGTGAATATTTACCCGAAAGATCATTTATTTGATTTATTCGTCAGATGTGTTGTCAGTGTCAGGTATATTTGCCTTTCAATAGGCGTTTAGGGGCTGTGTAGTCGGTGCATAAAGATGGCTCACGCTTATGGTTGCCATTTCGTCCGGACATTTGAGTAAAAAAGCCGGACACCCTACATTATTAATAATTTTGTGGCTCAGTAATATAAGGTGCGACAAAAGAGTTGTGTATAAAAGCGATCGACAGTCAACTCACGCAATCAAAAATCCCAACTATGTCCGGATAAAGCATTTAAATGCAACGACGGGTGTTATTTAACCTGGTTTTCCGCAAACCCGTATAATTTTCAGCGCAGTTTGAAAACTCTAAATAATTGTAACGCCGCGGCCCGCCACGCGGGTGTACAAAGCAGCTTGCTAACGACCTCTCGATAAAGAACCGAACGAACATATAAATATATATAATGCGATTCAACTAAGAATAGGACCGACTGAGCGCCATATTTTGACGTCATAGCTGTCAATTCAAACCAAATAGGTAGAGTGAGCAAAAAAATGATACTATTTAATAAGACTTATTTACTAAGATTGAGTAAGACAAAACATCAGATTTTTTAATTAAATTAATTGACTAAAGTTGAGAAAGAACACAACCGATTTTAATAGTATTTCTTTATTAACTGTGTGAAAAAAAACATTTTCAGAATCTAGCTCTTCAATTTCGCTCATCTCTGCATTACCGCCGGAGAAGTTATGAATAATCGTGCAGGTCACATACGAACATGCATCCTATATGTAAACGAAAGTTTTGAATCGAGTTTTTGAACGCAACATAAAGTGACATTTGGTTGACGATTTAGGTTATTAACAAATAACCTTTATTAAAGCTCAATAAATGAAAAAAAAGCAACTAATATTAGGTAACTATCAACATTTGTTATTGTTTGTTTAACTAAAAAAGTGTTCCGAGATTTTTTTGCAAACCGTACTTTTCAAGCGACATTTGACAGATGGAGGTCATTGGCTTTCCTATTCTTATTTGAATCGCATTATAGATGTGACATATAAATATAGGGTAGGCATCGGCGCGGCTGGTATCGCAAGTGTTCATAGGCTGTGGTGTATCAGACAGGCCATGTGCTTATCTCCAACTATTTTAACATAAACGAGGAGGAGCTCGTGGGCGCACGTGGTTAGCGCGTGGTCGGTCAATGGATGGGTGACCAAAAATCTTCTATCTCGAGTTCCTCCGTGCTTCGGAAGGAACGTTAAGCCGTTGGTCCCGACTACATCTGCAGTCGTTAGCACCCGCCAATCCCCACTGCGTCCGCGTGGTGGGTTATGGTCCAATCTCCTTATTTCATCCATAGGGAAGGCCTGTGCCCCAGCAGTGGGGACATTAATAGGCTGATGATGATGATAACATAAAAATGTGCGCAAATAAACGCGTTATCTCCCTCCTAAAAGTCGGGATCCTTTAAAAGACCAGAGAACACAGAAAGGGGTTACAAGTGTGATCATAAGACCGTTTGTACGGCAACCGATGTCGCCGGCTCGCCCCTACTACACTTCCACCTAATAGATAATAGCCAATCAAACGACGCGACATCAAATCATCGAACCAATAAGCGCTCACACATGAGAGCAACGACGCAATCAGAATAAAGTTTTGGTCAAGCTGTGAGCGTTTGCTCACACATTGTTATAATGCGATTCAACTAAGAATAGGATCGACGGGGCGCCATATTGTGACGTCATAGCTGTCAATTCAAACGAAAAAGGTAGAGTGAGCAAAAAAGTTTTTATTTAATAAAAGTTATTTACTAAAATTGAGAAAAGTAAATAACCAATTTTTAATAATATTTATTTATTAAGACTGAGCGAGAAAAAACATTAATCAGAATTAAGCTCTTCAATTCCGCTCATCTCGGCATTACCGCCGGATTAGTTATGAATAATCCTGCACTATTACTAGGTCACATACGAACATGCATCCTTTATGTAAACCAAAGTTTTAAATCTAGTTTCTGAACGCAACTTAATGTGACATTTGGTTGACTATTTAGGTTATCAAACATTCATAGCCAAAGCTCAATAAATGAAAATAAAATATCAATCAATATTAATTAACAATATTTGTTATTGTTTGTTTACAAATGTTTGGTTTTTATTCCATAATTAGCTGAGTGCCAAAAAAGGGCTCCAAGATTTTTTTGCAAGCCGTACTTTTCAAGCGACATTTGACAGATGGAGGTCATTGGCTTTCCTATTCTTATTTGAATCGCATTATACCTCTTTCTATGTTCTGTGATGATGATATGATGAAACTTCGATTGATCTCAATACAAGTGACTGTCCCCCTTTTTGCGCAGATCTTAGAGTTCAGAATGCCGGAGGAGATGATGAAGATGCTGGACTTGCAGCTGCATGATGAACCACTGCCCTTACGGCAGCTGTTGGAGGACTGCAAGATTACGCTCAAGAACCAGGTCAAAACCGGTGAGTACATATTCCCAATTTCACTAGCGTTAATTTGAGTCAGTCAACTTTATGAGATATATGAAATGAAATGAAACGTTCATTGATCATCAAAAAAAATCTTTAAGAATTAAAATGAAAACTTTACCTGTAAATATACTTATGACAAAAAACGTTAACCATATTTAGGGACGGCCAATCAGAACCCTGTCTCCGATTATGCTGACACAATATGAAGAAAAATATTTTTTGTGCCTAATCAACGCAAACAGAGATTTGTTTTAGATCTTTTAAAGAGAGACAATTCCGTAATATCTACAAACATCACACATCATGACAATATTTAAAGCTATTCATTATTTTTTTTAAATTAAACTTATTTCGGTATTATAAAACCTTGACTAAAGTTAAACCCGATGTACACAATTCAAATCTTTGGATCTACTATTGTTTCCTAAAAAGAAGGCAAAGACAGTTTCAGGTTTAAACCAATTCTATCTTTAGTCTTCGTTTTGGGACAACGTGGTATTAGGTTTATCATCATCATCATGTCAGCAGAGAGACTACTGGACATGGGCCTCCCCCAAGGAATACCAAACCGTTTGGTCCAGCGGCCTCCCGCGACTTTCACCAGATCGTCTGTCCATCTTTTCCTACCAAAGCTGAGTCTCCCAGTACGCAGCCATCACTCGAGGACCTTTCCGCCCCAAAGATATTTCAATTGAGGGGAAACCTTTATGCCGCTACAATGCAATCACCAAAGTTTAACCCTGTGTATAGTGATGTTTGATTCCGTTTCAATGCCACAATTAAATGTAGCCAGCGCGTGGCGTATCATTCCAAGCCATTTGTGCAAGTAATTGGATTGTTGGTCCGCTGGCGGTATTAGGGAGGAAATATCTAAGGGTGTTTTTATTTTTAGAATTCGCATCTAAAAGAGAGAGAGATATTAGTATGCCTCTCTGGACGACTGATCTTTTGAACTTTAGAAATAGGTAGACTGTGAAATATGCAAATGCTTTATCACGTACGGCATCGCATTTGTGATACTCCTGGTGTTGCAGGTGTCTATGGATGACGGTGATCACTTAGCATCAGGTGAGCTGTCAGCTCGTATGGCCCACTATAATATAAAAAAAATATTGTGCGCACGGACCACATATCTATTGTGAAGCTTCTTTTCTTGAATAACCTAACATTATGCGTATATAATATGGAGCAGCGCACGTATTTCTTACATGCATACGCATTATCTTCTATTATATAAAATTCTCGTGTTGCGGTGTTTGTGGTTAAACTCCTCCGAAACGGCTCGACCGATTTTCGTGAAATTTTATATGCGTATTCAGTAGGTCTGAGAATCGGACAACATCTATTTTTCATCCCCCTAAATGTTAAGGGTAATCCACCCCTAATTTTTTTTTTCAATTTTAGATATTTTTTTTTTTTTTTTTTTATGATACATCATACAAAAATAAATATATAACCCAAAATTTTCGCCCTTCTACCACCAACCCCTATTTTTTTATGGCGGTGCGAAGTTCGCTTGGACAGCTAGTCTTTATATATATAATTCTTCTGTGAGTGTGTATGTCACTGAACTTCTCTTAAACGACTGGACCGATTTTGATGAAATTTTTTGTGTGTGTTCAAGGGAATCTGAGAATGGTTTAGATTCACAATTTTGTCCGCTGGACAACCCCTATTTTTTTAGGGCGGTACGAAGTTCGCTGGGTCAGCTAGTTTATTTATATTATTAAAGCTGAGACTTTTTGGCGGGATCGGAAAGCGTCACTCTAGCAGTTTTGTTTTTCTTGTTAAAAATTGTGTTGTGGCGGATGTTAGTGTCTAATAATGGTGGATTATTAAACACTAACTGTTCGGGAACATGCACAAGTGTTGGCAAGTGAAACAAAATAGCGGAAAGTGTCTTTCGACGTTCCCTCAAGAAGTCCACGGGGAGGTTGCAGTAAATCCCCACTTTTACTGAAACATAGGGAAAGGGGGTTTGACTTGACCGCTTCTTACTTTGGCTTGATTTATTACTTTGACCACGAGTGCTATAGAATTTGTAAACATTTTAACACTTGACATTGGCTAAATGCACAAGCCGTGCGAAGCCCTTTAGGAAAAAAAATCTCTTTAGCTCGGATCGTAAGCGCAGCTCGGAATAAAGTTCGTTGTGTGCGGTGCTGCGCCTAGTCACATGAGTACTATTTCTTTTTCGGAGACTCCCGCGTACTTTTGTACTGTTCGATCTTTGGTATCCTCGGTTGTTCGGGGGACTTTTTGTACCCGGGACTTTTAATTACTCGCGTGCGTTACTCGATGTTGTTGTGATCTATTTTTCCAGCTATCTCAAGCAAGCAAAGGGGCTTTTAAGAGGTTTTGAGCCTGGGGGTCGCAACACTAACACAGGTTTTGTAACCTATTACAAGCTCCAACTCTCTCAAAGAACTGCATTGTTTTTACTGTTATTGTCTTTCAATACCTCTGTGAGAGAAAAATAAAATAAATCATTCATATCATTCATTCATTTTTCCGGCTAAAAAAAGTCCACGCACAAAAAATAGTCACTCGTCTTCGCAGGCCGTTACACTTATTTTTTTCTTAGGTTTTCACACACATCGCTCATTAAATAAAACACGTTTCAACTAGTCAGATACACTGATTTTATTTATTACTAGTGACCGGAAGAATTGATCAAAACCCTTTCTTAGCGGATGCCTACGTCATAACATCTACCTGCATGCCAAATTTCAGCCCGATCCGTCCAGTGGTTTGGGCTGTGCGTTGATAGATCACTATATCAGTCAGTCACCTTTGAGTTTTATATATAAAGACTGACTTATTCCTTTGCAGGAATGCGTTACAGTTACATTTATTCGTCCAGTTATATTTGACACTTGAATATGTAATGCTAAGTCTCTATGTACACGGTTAGGTAGAGCCTGTGAGGAAAGAGAATGGGATTTAGATTGGAGGGCGCTGTAGTGCTTTTCTACCGTATTTATAAGGTTTTACCCCTTATAGACATGATTAAATACAAAAAACCGCAAGAAATCACAACAACAAACAAATCCGTATCAATACAAAACTTTGACGTTTCACAGATTGCTGGGTTTGATTGCCAAATAAAAATCTTAATGTTAGTTCCGTTTTTCGCCACGACCATTCTCTTTCCGCACAGACTCTATCGACCGGCCCGCAGTATTCGCGGCATGATTACACGTGTGAGCGACTCAGAAGAGCGGTGATCTCCGAATCACGCGGTAGAACGAGCGCTGAGCAAGGGGCGCTGACGAACAAACGGTTGCGACATAGTATAAAGAGAAGGGAAGTAGGTTATCTCCGGCCCAATCCGCGATACAATTGCCTACTGTCTTAGGGTTGTCACTTTTAGATAAATTTTAATTTATATTATTGTATTGTCCGGGTACAGAGTTTGTGAGGCCGATTTTATCTAAACGATGAAAGAAACAGCGACGGGCCAGCAACAGGCGGCGCGGGGCGGTGATGAGCACGAGTAAACGGTAGCTTACTTATCAGTAACCTTTTTTACTATCGTACTATCACCAATTCAATATAAATAATAACACACATATCTCTGTATAACTAATTCAGTGAGCATTAGTAAATAAAGTTCAACAATGGTTTTCCTAACAAATAGAGAAATGTATTTAAGATTCAGGGCAGCATTATTTATCAAAAAAAAGGATAAAATAAACCGGCCGGCGCGGCGCGGCGGGGTGGTTTGGGCGCGGCTGTCCGCGCTTCGCTCGCAACGCAACCGCATAAACAGCGGCAACGTCAAGTCGCGGTCCCGACTTTTTATGTCGCCACTAGATGGCACAGGCGGTAACATAGACTAAGAGCTTGTGTTTAAATTATTTGCTTATTAGTTTATACATATACTAGTATATCATTTTTTTTTAAATAGGCATAATGTAATATTTTTACACATAAAGGACCATATTATATTACATTAGTACACGGTTAGGTAGAGCCTGTGAGGAAAGAGAATGGGATTTAGATTGGAGGGCGCTGTAGTGCTGCGGATTATGACGCTACGCGCTGTAGTGCTGCTTATTTTTAATTAATACAAACATAAATAATACAAACATATCTATAAAATCACACATTTATTACAAAATTACAAATTAGCTACAGAAAAATACTTTCTTCGGTTTCGACTATTACGAAACGCCTTGTTATTAAAATTTAATGTGTAATATATCCGCATCCTTATAAATAACTTTTGCAAATATAATTTTGGAAAGCATGGGCAGGGCGGTGAAAAATGTAAATCTTTTATTTGTTCATAAACAGACATGCCAATTTTGCAGTTTATGTGATCATTTTTAAATGCTTTTTGAAATATCTGCTCCATCCTCTTAATATTTTCTACAAAGTCGTCGGGTGGAACTATTAACAAAATTTGGTCTCTAGAATATTTTTTGTAGTGAAGGTACCTAGATTCTGCACTTAAATTGCAAACTTGCTGATTCGCGTTTAAATACGATTTAAGTTGTTCGCAATCCTCGTGACGATCAATGCATTTTTTCAATAAGGCTCCGCATACGTAAAAAAAGCATTTTTTTCGGGAATATCAAATTCTATATAGTCTGAACAACTAATATCACGCAATACACTATTTGACTGCAATATCTCTGATTGGTTAATATTGATGACAGGTGGAACGTTATTGATTTCAGTAGCGTCATAATCCGTATTTTTGTAATTACTTAAGTGAACGAGGGATTCTGTCAAATCTTCCGTACAATTGCCTTCTTTCGGAGCCCGGGTAATATTGGCAAAGAAAATTTTACGATATGCAGATATAAATTGTCTGCTGGTTGGTTCTAAAGCATTTCCATTTTTCGATCTAATTTTACCAAAAAAATTCTCAATCACGTCCTGATTAAGACGTCTTGTCAGAATATATTGATATCCTTCTTGCTTAAGATCTTCGTACAGATGTAAAATTGACTTGATTGTGATCTGAAACCCTTGAATAAATT